TATGAACCGTATGTATATTGATTATTTGGAAATTACAAATTTGTATGTGTACGAATATTTGTTTCAACCCACCTTATATGTATGTATTAAAAATATTCTTTTGAATATGTAAAATGGAATAAACGACAATTTTAAAATCAGTGTCTGAAATAATCAAATTGAAAGCTAGAATGATTTATGAAGAGGAAAGTGTAAGTGAAAAGACGAAAGAAAATGTCTCAAAAATTGACGGAAATTTCAAAGAATTTAATAGAAAAAAGATTGATGTCTTACAATGAAGAAAATACTAAATATTTACACAGGATAAGGTACAGCCTGATAAATAGCGAAATTAGAGATAAAAATAGGGAAATTATTTGAATGTAAATAATGACAGCAGAAAATTGATCTGGAACTAAAAGTAAAAGTGGGAGAAATGAACGATTCTGGGGAAAAGAAATATTATTTTTACGATGGAAACCTATTTGAAAGGGGAAAGGATAGCAAGGGGAAAAGATTGCAAGGGGAAAAGATTGCAAGGGGAAAAATTAGCAAGGGAAAAAATTTGCAAGGGAAAAACATTGTTTAGGAAAAAATTGCAATGGTGGAAAAAAGGGCAAGGGAAAAGCAAAAGGAAAAAACAATGGAAAAAGATTATGAATCGATTTTGATTGCAAACTGAAAAGGATAGGTTATAAATAAATATTGCAATGAAAAACATTGTGTCTGTCCTTGTGTTGACAAGGGAAAAGGATTGCAAATAAAAGGATTCGAAGGGAAAAGGATTGAAGGGGAAAAGTCCATTGCAAGGGAAAAAAATATTGCAATGAATAAAAACATTCTAAGGGAAAAAAAAGATTGCAAGGAAAAAGGATTTCCAAGGGAAAGGGTTGTAAGGGAAAAGGATTTACAATGAAAACGATTGTTTAGGGAAAAGGATTGCAATGGGAAAAATTGCAAGGGGAAAGGATTGCAAGGGGAAAGGAATGTAAATAAAGAATGTAGGGAAAAGAAGATATTAGGATGCATAATGAAAATATTGGAAGAAAGTGTGTCAAATAAGAAGGAGTAGGAAACAACAAATGGAGAAGTAAAGAATGAAAATAGAGAGAGCGTGATCGAACATTGGTGAAGGATACGTTTAGAAACATCTGCAAAGAAAGAGGGATGTTTTTTTGTTTGGTTTTGTTTTACGGCATATTAATCTCAATGGGTTATTTAATGTCAACAAGATTTTTATTGCTGGTATTTGTTCTGGAAAAATGTATTGCTGGTAATAATGTATTGCTTTTAATAATTTTTTCCTTCAAAAATATATTGGTGGTGATAATTATTTTACAATGTATTTCTGGTATTAAAACCTCTTTTCACTTTTCATAGTGTTTTGACCCCAATTTCATCAGGATGGCCTATTTCACCCATAATTGAGACCCTAAAAGGTGTTAAACTGAATGTCAAAAACTTGGGAAGACCAAATTTTTAAAAAGTGGTTCACGCGCCTGAAAAAAAAAAAGATCAGAGGCCTTGCTGTTGGATGTAGCTTATCGTCTTACCCAGGAAGCGGATGTAGTTTATCGCCATACCCCGGACTGGAAATAGGATAAGACGCCATGTCAAGAAAAAAACAGTATCGAAAAGAGGGAAATGAGAACTGGAATTAGATGATGAATGATCAAAATTGGATAGAAATATGAATCTGAACGGGAAGTAGAAATCAAATAATGAATTGAAAAGAGAGGACGGACTGCGATAAGAATGCCGTGGGATGAATAAATTGGAATAAAGTGAGATATCAGAATGAGAAATTAGAAAACTGAAATTAAGAAGGAAGATAGGAGAGGAAGAATAAATGTTACAAATAGTTGGAACAAATCAAAACTTTTTATGATAAATAAGTAGAACGTGAAATAGGAGTTTTAAATAACATGGGATAAGATGATGTTCTAACCCAGGAAAGGTAATGAATAGAATAATCTAACGAAGGTTGGTGATGAGCGATGATACTTAGAACAAGAACAACATATACAAGATTCGCCAACAGTGCAAAGAAGTAGTTAATTGTTAGAATTGAGTCAAGTGAATTTCACAATGAATCTTCAACTGCAGGATATCTACAAACCGTCCCACGGGGTCAGATGTGGCACAAGGCCGAAATTAATGTGGGGTGTCCAAGCCAATAGGCTAGGGCAAAAATTCCACGTTGACCCTGTATAAAATGGGTTCGGGTAGCTGTTTCTCGAGACGAGACTCTCTCCTTCGACAAAGCCTCGTCTGGGGATGCTCTCTGCTAGGAGACAGAGTTTGAAAAGAACTGCTGGAGATGAATCTCCAACTGTAGCCCAACATACAGTATTTACTACTGTATTAATGGCAATGGGAAAATACCCATTATCGTTCGTAGGTAGACTACAACAGAAGAAGAACTATTATCAAAAAGAAGTGGAATAAACATATTAGGGTTAGCATGAGTAATTAGATCGAGAAAATAGAAGATTGAAAGGAAAGATGATAGAGAAGGCAGAGGTAATATTAGAAAGGTGTGGAATGGAACGCAACTAGGTTAGTATAAGTAATTAGACCGAGAAAATAGAAACTTTGTAAGAATACAGTTGGCGATTATCTTTCTTTGGTGGTGATAATTCACATTGGTTACGTGATGACCGCTTAGTTACAATAACGGCAGTCAATTTTCAGTTTTATTTTTAATATCTGAATGGTAAGGTTGCTTTCTTTATCCCAGCAAATGGCCCGAGGAGAGGCTAAATCTGCTTCCCCAGTAGTTTACACGTTCATGGTGACATTTGCCTTTGGGAATATATATTTTCCAGATACTATATATATATATATATATATATATATATATATAACTCCAGTTTTCAGTCCTCAGTTTGGAGAAACTGAAGACTCGCTGTTTCCCTTTCGTTGAATATATCCTCGCCTGGGACATAGTAGATGAATCCTTCCCATTTGAAACTAGTCCTAAAAATGGCATCTCCAGACATTGGATTATCTACATAGGTTGAAAGAAAAGAGGACAGGAGAAATGGAAATAGAATTAGAATGGGTAAGATTTATCGTAAAATGAAGAGGATGAAAGATGTAGACGAAAGGTTGAACCAGAAATGGAGGAGGTGCGAAAAAATCAATTTAAAGATGTAATAATTTAAACATAATATAGATAAAGGAGTTTAAATAAGCCAAATAAAATAAGAGTAACGGAAGTGATTGGAATATATTTAGAGGACAATAATGGTGAAGAGCCTAAGTAAGAAAGATATAAATTAAAGAATAACTAAAATAGTTTTGTTTTTTTAAATCGAAATCAACCCAAGCAAAGCAGTAATTCCACTAAAATACAAGGGGGTTACAAATCATGAAGAATTAAGAATAGAAAGATTAATGATGAGCAGAAAAAGAAGAGAATAATCAGGTGGACATTAAATAGCTATTGTCATTCTATTTAAATTTTTGCAGATTAAAGTTGGCTGGAAAACATGGAGCCGGGAGGGATTTTCACAAGAGAGAAGAAACTGTTAGCATAGCATTTATGAGTACATCTAGCGAACTCATCTGCCAATTAATGAGATCTTTACGCCATTTTCGTATTGCGCTTAAATTCAAAATGTCTAGGTACCATAACGAAGAGATCATCACAAAAATTACCATGAAATTATTTATAGAAAAGACAGAGCGAGGTAACTTATGGAGGTGGAAAAATGACTGAAGATGAGCCGTCAGATCAGGACCAATAATATTGCAGATTCTTCTTTGGATTTTATAAAGAAATTCAAGGTAAATAGCAAGGAAACCAGACCATTCTAAGCTTGGACAAATTCTAGAACAAACTATAAATCGATTAAAATTATGTGGCGAATTATAAGACAGGAAAATACAAATGAATAAAATGGAAAAACAGGTAGCGATTAATTATAAGCAGATAGCAGAAAGGTGTATGTGGTAGAATGAAAGAAACAAAGAAAAACAACTTAGAAGTGGCGTGACAGGAATGTAGGTGAACTTTTGTAGAAATTAAATATTAAATAATAAAAAAAGAGAGGCAGAAACAGTGGGTAAAAGAGAAGAGACTTGGAAGAAAAACGAGGAGAAAAAAGAAAAGCAGAGCAACAAATGGAAACAGAGTAAGAGAATGAGAAAGAGAGAAAGAAAGTAAGAAAAAGAGAAAAATAAAAGTAGAGAGAAAGAAAGAGTGAAATGAAAGAAAGAGAATAACAAAAATATTTACGACTGTAATGGACACAGAGCATGGTAAAAAAAGAAAAAAAGAAAAAAAGAAAAGAAAAAAAAAAAAAAAGAAAAAAAAAAAAAAAGAAAAAAAGAAAGAAAAAGAAAAAAGAAAATAGAAAGAAAGATATATAAAAGGGAAGAATGTGCCAATGAAGTAAACATGTAAAAAGAAAGAGAGATAAAAGTATGAACGAGAAAATAAAGAAAGAATGAAAAAAAGAAAGAGAGAAAAAAAGCAAAAGAAGGAAATGTTTAATGACAAGAATAAAAGCCTGGAAATGGGAGAGAAAGAAAATTTGGAAACAAAATAGATAGAAAAAAAAGAGAAAAGAAAGACTGACTTTAAGGACAAAGATGTTAGATTGGGAATACGTAAGAAAGAAGAAGAGAAAAGCAAGATAATGACAATAATGATTAATATAAAATAAATGTTTTAAAGAGAATAATAAACCCCGCGAAATGGGCAAATAAGAAAAAGACAAAAAAAAATATTTTAATGGCAGGAACAAAATCTGGTTATAGGTTAGAACGGAACTCGAAAAAAAAAAAAAAGAAAACAGTCATTTTGAAACGTAGGGAAGTAAACGTGTTTAAATGTAGATAGATCTTCTACAGAAAGAAAGGAATCGGAAAAGACAAAAGACAGTGAACAAGAAAGAGAATGTCGATAATGGTAATCGATTGCAGACCACCTCAATATGCAGGCAAAATGAAGTCAGCGAAGTTGAAAAATAAGATCAATTCCAGCTGATTGGCTCTCGTGGTCTATCGCAACGATGCTTTTCATTTCTACGTTCACATCCTTACTCCCTCCCACTGGCCTTCCTCCTGTCTCCTTCCTCTTATTTCTCACATTAACCTCTTCACCCCCTTCAAAAGTTTTCCTAAACTCTTCACCTTTTCTCACCCAATGTCCCCTCCACCCTGCTTCTGTTACTACACACATGTCTTTCTTTGGCGCTCAAATATATTTTCCCACCAAAATATATTTTTGTCTCTTCGCTAATGACATAACTATTGCTTTCAGTCTGTCGACGTTCATTTCTCTCTGGAAATACTTTCTTTTCTCAGTTTTCTTCCGATGTATCATTGCTTTTTTAACTAAGATTTTCGTTCAAATTACGAGTAATTTTGCCTTTTTTTTATTTGAGGTTATTGTTTTGTTTTTCGATTTGTTTGCTCTTGGAGGAATGCTACGATCTCTCTTCAGCCGATTTGTTGATTTGTTCGTCTGAACCAATTTGGCAAATTTTGTCTTCTTGTTTCGTTTCCTTTTGTCTCGAGTCTTTATAAGCTTTATTTCTTTTAAATATTGGAATTTTGAGGATTTATTCTCACCCGTTCTTTCTTTTTTTTCTCTAATTATTCTTTATTCATTATTTTTGTTCAGTATGCAGCTCCCTTTCTTCCTATTGTTGTTCTAGATTCTTCTTCTTCCTGTCTATCATATCTTTTATCTTCTGACATCTTTCTGTTATTTTTCTTCTCGTTATTTCTTTATTTCTATCGTTTTCCTTTCTTTCTTTCCATCCTTTTTCTATCTTTGGTGTATAATTCTTACTTCATTTTGATTTACCAATTTTTGCTCTTTATTTTTTCCTTCCTGCCATTTATATCTGTCGTTTTCTTTCTTTTTGTTTTCGCTAATTCTTCCTTCATTAAATATTTCACTTCGCATCTGCAGATCTTTCATTGATTTTTGTCTTTAATTCTGTCTTATACACCATTTTTATCTTACAATTGTCTTTCTTTTCTTATTTATTCAGTATTTCAACAAACGTTTTTTTTTTTCATTCCCGATTACTTTTGTTTTGAAATATCAGTCTTCATTTCTTTCTTTCAATCTTTTTTCTTTATGTGTTCGTTATTGAATTATTTCTTATACTGCATTTTACTCTTGTTTTTATCTTTCTTTCTTCCATTTATAATCGTTATTTACCTTTGCCATTGTCTCGATTTTCGTACTTAATTTTTAACATTTTCGTCTTTCTTTCATCCTTTCACATTTGCTATTTTCTTTCACAATTTTCGTGGTTTCCTTTATTACACTATTTCATTATTTATTTCGCCTCTTCGTTCGGTTTAGTTTATTTGACTACCTTCTTTTTTCCGACCAGAAACTGATTCTCTCTATTCTCCAGTATACTCCTTTCCCTCTCTCTGACAGTTCCACGTTTAATATAATTCTTATTTTTTTTATCTTTGTTATTTATTTTTTTCTATAGTTTATTTATATTCATTAAATAGATTTTCATTCTTTTTTTTATTTTCTTTTTACGTACTTTTAATTTTTCCCTTCTTATTCATTTTCATTTCATTGGATTTTCTTTCTTTTAAAATATTTCTCTTCCCTTCACTATCACTCGCTCACTCAATCTAACGATCTTCCTTTTTTTACTTTCCTTCTGACAATTATTAACATTTTCATTTTTTTTCCTATACGTCTTTTAATTCTCTTTTTCGTTTTGTTTATTTTACGAACGCCAGTTGATTTTGCCCTCACCTCTTCCAAATATTTCTGTTAAGCCAATAATCAAGAATTCTATTACAGTTTTTTTTGATATCTGCCAAACTTTCACTTTGATTTTAGTGAAACACGGAAACAAAACAAGATAGAATCGACTTAGAACCGTACAGTTTCGCGAAGACGCTGTACAAACAGGTTGATGAAATTTTCCCCAAATTCCATTTCTCGAAGCGATCAGCTTGGGCATCAGAAATTATTTCTCCAGACGACACAAAGCCATTGCTCTTAGGCAGTTTTGGTATTTCATTTTTTTACAACATGCATAGTTATTGATTTGCTACGAACATCTTGCAGAAATTTCTTCACTGAGAAAATTTTTCCATATTATTAACATCGTTATGAAAGGAATAAATGCCTCCAGGACAATATTAAAAGCATTATGGTCACGACTAGACATGGCAAACCAGAAATAGTTTTATAAACCTGATTACCCGTCTTCCGAGAGAAATTTTCTATTTAGCAAATGGCAGCGGGTACAGACCAATTTCTGAAGTAAATTGAACAGTGACTTTAAGAATCAACAAATTATGAAGCTTTGCTGTCATATCTGGGCAGAAGATATCCATTCCTCATTTTCCTGGCTCAGTAGTGCTCAAAACATTTACGCAGACTTGGCTCAGTCATTTATGTGCCTGGCGTGATACACGCTTAGACGATCATATATCTTTTGATACATAACTGACGCGGGAATTTTTTTCCCCGCAGTTGTTTGCCATTTAATTCTGCGGTAGACCAAGTAGGCCATCCAAGTCTATAGAACCCGGTCTGTCCTGTTGTTTAACCCTTAGATGTGGGGAGGAGAGAAGAAGAGGATTCACACCTTTCCAAAGGGTATTATCACGTAATTGAATGTAATAGATTCGACAGAAATGCGAACTTTGCTTTCTGATTCCTCAATCGAGCCGCTATCCATTACTCCACCAGAGGATGCCAAATTTTCTACTCTACAAGTCATTTCCCACAAGCGCAACTTCGAAAACCTCTCTATCGCTATATCCATGGTAAATGTTCAGACGAGCTCCATTCTTTTGTTCCAACATATCAAACCTGTAACAGATAAAACAATCTATGCTGCGTCAAAGTAGTCGAAACCTACCTCTCTTCCACTGTATCTACTAGTAAGTCTAGTGGTCCAACTGAGACATCTTTGAGAATCCAAGGCTTGCGTAGATGCTTCCGAAGGCTATAAAATTAACTTCAAGTCAAGGCCCAATCTGTAAATACTGTCCTCACCTACATAATGCTAAATTCCTATTTCCTCTTTTCTTTAAACTCCTTCACATCCAATTCAGCAATATTCTACTTTCTGTTGCTTTTGAGACTTGTACTGGGGAACACTAGTAAAAAAAAAAAAAAAAATGTCTGCAGTAAGGGAGGGGTCCCTAAGCGTTTACCAGGTTTCAGGTGTGAAAGAATTTCTTCACAAAGATAACTAACAACGCTCAGCGATTTCGAAGTGTTGTATGTTAAATAAATAATTCGGACAATTCTATGATCAATGAAATGGCATTATTTATTGAGCCTCGAACGTAAGTGTGGCTACTTCTATTTGTTGTTGCCTTTTTGAAAAATTATATCTGCCTTAATCAATGTCAAACTCATGTATTTTTCAGCTGATTTCCGTTGTAAACTTATCTTTAGCGGTTGATTAACTTTTCATAACTTCCTTGAAACAATGAGATCAATATCAGTTTCAACATCGCGCCACATGTTGGTAAAATATATTATTTGAAATTAACAAGGGAAACGTTCGGTTAATTTATGTCAAGGAGCAATCTAAACACATTCCAAGGTATTGGCATTTAGTTTCTAGTGTTGTCTACTGTAAGTTAGATAGACAAGAGAATTTCATAACGTGGGGGGGATTATACCAACTGTTTTCAGAAACTATAACCCAAAACCTACACTAGACTACCGTCTTGTTTCAATTCAAAGAAAACAAAATAATTCGCAGATGATTGGACTAATCGGTATTAATATATATATATATATATATATATATATATATATATATATATATATATATATATATATACAATATATTTTATATAATACAAGCAGCATGGCCAGGTGTTGCCTGTGCTTGATTCAAAAATCGTACGACGCATTCAGCAATTGCTATCACTTGACTTAAAATATTTCTACCCTACCTTGCCTTTAAAGGAGTGCCCTTTTCCGTGCTAATGTTTCTACATGCCTTACTTCTTGCCTATCTGACTCTGCGAATTTTTTCTAAGCTCTATACTAAACATTAAATCTGTTACAAAAAAACAACTAAACAAAATTAACACAAAACGATCAGCTTTAAAAAAACACTCGTAACGGGAAAACCGAATGAAAAAAGAATGTTAACAACAAATACTTTTTCACACCCAACCCAGTTCTGCGGAATCAGAATCAAAGTTGAGTTTAAGCAAGCGAATGAGTCAATTGGAGTAAAGTGCCATGCAGATTTAAATTTTCCCCACTTGTGACGAATGCAGCTATTGATTTTTTGTATGCTAGCATGCTAGTTAACATTCGTGTCAGTCAGCTGTTGGCTATCACGTTGACCAATAGAATCTTCCTGCTTATTTATGGCAGCCAGCTATAGGCTCTCACTCTGGCCAGTACAAAATGGCCGCAAACTACATGAAAACTGCCGTAGAAGCATGAAAAAATCGATTATTTCCAGTATCGATGGGAGTCGGTCGTGGCCTTCCCGCTAACTTGGAGCATGTGCATGTAAATTTTGGTGGAAATCCGTCGAAAATCGCGGCCGTGTATTCGTTACACACACACACACACACACACACACACTTTTATAGATGGAGATATAATATATATAATATATAATATATGCAGTATATATTGTATAATATATACGATATATATTATATAATATATATAATATTATATAATATGTAATATAATATATAACGTAGCCATAAATATTAAATGATTTGATATTCATTTTTGACGGCTTATCAAACGTTTACAGGCTAATAAATCAAAAATATTTTTACGTCATATGAATTTTTTGACATAATAATTGTTTAGTGATACAAGTCTTACTGATTAACCCATAGGGAGTGAAGAGCTGGATTATATCTTTCTCAAGTATGTTTACACGTAAGTGAATAAAACGAATTCAGCCATGTTTGTAACTCGGTCTCCGGTTAAAAATTCCGAGCCATTTTTCATTATACGACATGACCATCCAAATTTACATCACCTAGTGTTCCCAAGCGGTCACCTTTTTAGGTTTTTGACAAAGTTTGACGTTGAACCCTTCTGTGATCGCACGTGAACCGTTGTTTCAATGCGATATCGCCTTTCGTCATAGAAATTCAAAGATCTCAAAAGAATGTAAAAAATAATAACATGTTCGAGTGTATTTGATACTGAGTTCATCATATATATTATTTTATGGCTTATAACTTCTGGATTTATTTAATATGACATTTCTATTTGCACTTTCTTTGCCGAAGAAAAACAAGGGAAGCCATGATTCTCCTCAGATGGGAGATATTGCTAAACCCCGGGGATTGATACCCTCCGGTAGCGCATTCCTCGTCGCACCAAAGAGGTTTGGACGATGTAATACCGATGGCAGCTTGACACTGGTTTCGGAGCTGGACAAAAATAAAGAAATAAATAAAAAGAAACACAATTTTTGTCTTTGACCAATATACATACGTATGCGTACAACGCTTCCAATTTGAAAACGACGTTGTATCATATCCAGCCATGGTGGGGAAGCCGGGTAAATATACCTGGTATTCCCAAACGGATTGACCTGGCTCGATATTGCTTAACTTCGCTGTCCAGTGTTTCAAGGTGATGACGCCGAAAGCCCTGGCCATTGTCGAGAAGTTACATCTGTAGTTAATAACTTATTTCATCGCATTCGTCTTCAATGACTCACAGATTATTTCCGATTTTTAGATACAATTGCCTTTAATGCGTTCTCATGAGTAAGTTAAGTGTCTGATATCGCGTGAACATGATGTGGATTAAAAATACATCTCTAACTGTTAAATGCGTATACATCAAGATCGGTCTTTACATTTTGACGAATAGGATCGTCCCGATTTGGGAGCGAAGACTAACGTTGCAATAGTGTACTTTCAAAAGGGCTTTTCAAAATAGAATACGAAGCTATTTAAAAGGAAATAGAATCTCGACTGTAAAACGAATGTCTCGTGAGTTACTTATCAAATTGATTTATTGTAGACTGACATTGAGCTCGCACCAGATATTCTGCTATTGTTCTCTACTTACAAGGCCAAAGAGCTACACAATATACAAGGCTACTGAATAAGGTTGCGGCATGGACGTAAGAATAAAACTGAATGTATAAGATCTTATGAAGATTATAAGGGTAAGTTGGATGGGCAACAGATGATAATAAATTTGAGATTTAGGTTTTAGTTGGCAGGGAAGGTAACACTGGGAAGTATATGAACAGGAGTTATTTCTTACTAGTGTAATACTGAGGGAATATGGGTTTACTTGGATTCGACGGTTTAGGATTTAAAAATCTGAACTTGTACAACTAAGCAATATATTCCATAAGACCTTTTGCCGTAGAAATAGCGGTAGAGTCGTGGTAGGT